TGACTCTAGATATAGAAGTGAACATTTGAATAATTGTCATAATAACAGGTCTTCCTTGTATGCATGTGGATAATATCCTGTGACTCACAATATTGTATTTCAAGATTTGAAATGACTTTTCTACTGTGAAGGCAACACCATTCTTCTCTTTTTCTTTCCCAGCATAGTGTTTGTTGTTGTTATGAGCCATTGAGTCAACCATGACTCCAAGTGACCCTATGTACAATAACTCTGAACCCTGCCCTATTCTAAACCAGTCTCACTCGCTCCAACACAATCCCATTGTCCCAGTTACTGTGTCAATTCATATCCTCCAGGTCTTCTTCTCCTGCACTTTCCCTCCACTCTTCCAAGCAAGATATCCTTCTCCAAGGACTGGTTCCTCATGGCCATGTGCCCAAAGTACATGAGATGGACTTTAAAAATCCTTGCCTTCAAGGAGAAACTTGGTTTCACCCTCTCCAAGATAGACTTATTTGTTCTCCTGCCATCCATGGTATGTTCAATACTCTTCTTTGCACCACAGCATAAAGGCATCAATTCTTCTCCTGTCATCCTTAGTCATTGTCCAGCTCTCTGATGCATAGCAAGTAATTGGGAAGACCATGGCCTGGATCATGCACACCTTAGTGTCTAGACTGACATCATTGCTCCTCAGTACTAGAGAGGTCCCTGAAGGCAAATTTCCCCAATGCAATTAATCTTTTGATTTCCTGACTGCTGGTGCCAAAAGTGTTGATTGTGGAGTTGAGCAAGCTGTAATTGTTAACAATCTCAATCTCTTCTCCATCTACCATGGTGCTACAAATTGGCCCAGTGGTGAGAATCTTTGCCTTCTTGATATTAAGCTTCAATTCATATTGAAAATTACAATCCTTGACCTTCTGCATCAAACACTTTGGGTCCTCCTCAGTTTCAGCAAGCAAGGTTGTATCATCTGCATCATGCAGGTTGTTGATGAGTTCCTCCAGTCCTGCTTCCACACTCCTCTTTAAGTCCAGCCTCCCAAATTATCTGTCCCACATACAGATTGAATATGTCAGGAGACAGGAGCATCCCTTTCCTAATTTTGTTTTTTTAAATAAAATTTTTATTTTAATTATGATTCTAATGAAAGTTTATAAAAAAGTTAGATTTTCATTCATTCATTATTGCACATTTTAACCCCTCTCTCCCTTTCCCAGTTCACTTTTTTTTAAAAAAAAATATTCATTTATTATTGTACAATTACCTCCTTCTTCCCCCTCCCAGTCCTCCTTGCAATGTACCTCTTATTCTGGGTTGTTGTCATATGTATAATGCCAAATCACATATTCTTTTAGACAGTTCTTTCCTTAACTTGTTCCAATGTAATGTTCATTATTTATGCACTCTTATCCTATTCTATGGTTATGAGTCGCAAGCGACTCAACGGCACATAACAACAACAACAACAGCATCCTATTCTCCTTCCAACCCTCCATGTCAGACCTGCTTTATAACAGTGGTGTTATGCAGTAATTGTCCTTTTGTAACTGAGATATTTCACTCAACATAATATCTTCCAGGGTCACCTATGTTGTATAATGTTTTACAAGTTCATTGTTTTCAGTGTTGCATTGTATTCCATTGTATGGAAATACCATGGTTTATCTATCCATTCATTTGTTGATAGGCAGTGGGTTGCTTCCTTCTCTTTTTTGTAAATAACTCAGCAATAAACATGGATGTACATATATCTGTTTGGACGGAGATTCTGGTTTCTTTAGAACATATTTCCAGTAGTGGCCTACCTAGGTCAAATGATATTTCTATTTCAAGCTTTTTGAGAAAGCACCAAACTGCCTTCCAGAGTGTTTGCCCCATTTTACACTCCAAATAAAAACAACTATGAGTTATCATCTCACTCCAGCAACAATAGCAAAGTTTAACACAGCAGCAAACAATAAATGTTGGTGAGGTTGTGGAGAGATTGGAACCCTTATTCCCTTCCTAGTTGTGAACCATGTCGTGTTTCTTTGCTCTGTACTAAGGACTGCCTCCTGGTCCAAGTATAAGTTTTGCATGAGCACATTCAAGTGTTTTGGGACTCTCATTCTTCTCACGGTTAGCCACCGTTTATTGGCTATACACAGTCAAATGCCTTTCCATTGTCAATGAAGCACATATAGATATTTCTCTGGTACTTTTTGCTTTCAACCAAAATTTCTCTGACATTGGCGATAATGTCTCTAGTGCCACGGTCTCTTCTCAATTTATTTCTGGTAATTCTTTGTTTCTGTCATTTCTGGATAATTTTCTGTAGGATTTTGCTTATGTGTGATATTAGTGACATTATTTAATAATTTTTACACTGTCAGATAAGTTGTGGTTGTTTTTTTTTATGGTATACCATGTGATTATCTGAGTCAAAGTGGCCAAGCCAAGTTCATCTCATCTCACTAATGTCTAGAATGTTGATGTTCTTGCATCCCATTTAATTTTTCACAATTTCTAGTTTTCCAACACTCAAGCTATCTACCTTCCATATTCTAATTATTAAAGGATATTTGCTGTTATTTTTATCATTTTGACTGATTTCCCGTCTGGGTTCTACTACAAAAACTATAACTATCTGTGTTCCTCTACTGTTCATAGGGTTTTCAAAGGCCTGTTATTTAAGAAGTGGATGGCCACCCTGATTCCCAGTTTGTCTTAACCTAGAAGATCTACTAAAACTTGTCCACCTTAGGTAATTGTGACATTTTACATACCAGTGTCATGGCTTTCAGTATCATAGCAACCCATGAGTTACCTCAGTACAACAAACCGACATAGAAGTGCTGTACCAATTAGAGCAATATTCTCTCCAAATACAAAGATGCTATGGGTAATATATTGAATGACCCAAGTAGCATCAAAAGAAGATGGTGGGAACACACAAAATCACGGTACTGAAAAGAACTGACTTACACTAAAATATTTCAGGAAGTACCATATGAGCAGGAGCCGATGATAATGAATGAAGGAGGAATCTGAAGCTGCATTGAAGGCATTGGGGTGGGGTGGGGGGGGGAAGTCCCAGGAATCGACAGGTTAACAACTAACTTGTTTCAATTAACAGATGTAGTCCTACCTATGCTTGCCAATCTGTGCCAGGTAATCTGGAGGATAGCTCTCTGGCCCACAGACTGGAAGAGGTGTATATTTGTTCTCATTCCCAAGAAAGGTGATCTAACAGAATGTGGAAACTATCAAACAATACTATTTATGTTACATGCAAACAAAATACTGTTGAAGATAATTAAAAAGCAGTTAGAACAGTACATCTATAGGGAACTTCCAAAAGTTTAAGCAGAATTTAGAAGAGGCTGTGGCACCAGGATTATCATTGCTGATGTGAGATTTATCCTGGCTGAAAATAAGGAATACCAGAAGAATTCAGAGTGTGTAAATTATCAAATAATATTACTAATATCAGAGACTAGCAAAATCCTGCTGAAGTTTATCCAGAAATGACTGCAACAGTAGCACATTGATAGAAAACTACCAAAAATACAAGCTGAGTTTAGAAGAGTTTGTGGCACTGGAGACATTATTGCTAAGGTCAGATGGATCTTGGCAGAAAGCAGAGAATGCCAGAAGAATGTTTTTGTTTCAATGATTATACAACAACATTTGACTGTGTGGATCAAAATAAATTGTGGCTAACTTTGAGGAAAATGGGAATCCCAGAAAACTTGATTGTGCATATGCAAAACCTGTACATGGACCAAGAAACAGTCCTCAGATCAGAGCAAGGAAAAACTGCATGGTTCAAAATCAGGAAAGGAGTGAGTCAGGGATGGATCCTGTCTCCATACCTTTTCAATCATATGCAGAACAAATAATTTAAAAAGTAGGGCTTTATGAGGAAAAAGATGGCATTAGGATTGGAAGAAAACTTATAAACAACCTTCATTTTACAGGTAACACAACCTTGCTTACTGAAACCGAAGATGACCTGAAACACTTGCTGCAGAGGGTCAAAGACTGTGGTTTTTAATATGGATTGAAATTTATATCAATAAGACAAAGACTTTTACCACTGGGCCAATTGGCAGCACCATGATGAATGGAGAAGAGATTGAAGTTGTTAACAATCACAGCTTGCTCAACTCCACAATCAACACTAGCAGTCAGGAAATCAAAAGACGAATTGCATTGGGAAGCTGCTGTCATGGACCTCTCCAAAGTACTGAAAAGCAACGATGTCAGTCTAGAGACTAAGGTGCACCTGATTCAAGGCATGGCCTCTGCTATTACTTGCAATGCACCAGGGAGCTTCAAATTGTGGTGCTGGAGAAGAGTCTTGAACATACTATGGACCACCAAGGAAATAAATAGGTCTGTCTTGGAGAGGGTGAAACCAGGTTTCTCCTTGGAGGCTAGAATTTTGAAGTTCTGTCTTACATATTTTGAGCATGTGGCCAGGAGGGACTGGTCCTTGGAGAAGGACATCATGCTTGGAAAGGTGGAGGGACAGTGCAGAAGAGAAAGACCCCAGATAAGGTGGATTGATACAGTAACTGGGGCAATGGGGGTTGATGTGTCAGAATTAGTGAGACTGGCTCTGGACAGGACAGGCTAGCACATAACAACAACATACATATGGACTTCACCTGATGGAATTAGACTGACTACATCTGTGGAAAGAGATATTGGAGAAGCTCAATATCAACAGTCAAAACTAGGCCAGCTGCTGTCTGTGGAACAATTAACTACTCACATGAAAGTTCAAACTGAAGGTGAAGAAAATGCACAAAAGTCCATGAGAACCAAAATATGACCTTGATATATCCCAAATTAATTAAAAAAATATCAAGTATAGGTTTGACTCATTGAACACTAAATGACTAAAGACCAAAGGAGTTGTAGAATGGCACTAAGAACAATATCTGTGGAGAGAGAAAAGGTTCATTAAAGACAGGTAAGAAAGAAAAGACCAAAATGAATGTCACTGTGGATGGTGGCAGCGCTGGGTGCCTGAGCAAGCAGGGGCCATGAGAGCTTCCTGGCCCCAGTTCAGCATTGATGACACCTTTGCACTGTTCCTGGAGGACACAGGCCCTGCTTCTGAAAGCAGCATGATCACCAGATTCGAGTCCCTGCACTTCGAGCGTTGGACCCGGTTAGAGGTGGCCAATGAGGACAAGCAGTCCCCGCTACGCTACCAGAACCTGGAGAATGAAGAGGATGGAGCCCAGGCCTCACTACAACCAGAAGGGGGAGTCAGCACTAGGGATTCAACCCAAACCTCCATCCGAAGCACTATCAACACCAGCACCCAGAATTCCTCCAACATTTGCTGCAGTGCTTATCCTGACTGACTGGAGGTGTCCCCCTCTCCAGGTGTCTCCAGAGCCATCCTCTTCGTGCCTGGCTTCCTGTTGTTGGTCTCTGGAGTCTACCATGTGATCTTCTTCTGCTGCGCCTTGAAAGGTCTCAGTGGCTTCCACTTCTTCTACCTGCCTTACTGTGAGAAGTGAACGTGGGCAGCACAGCCAGGCCAGGGCATCGGTCCCCCACCTGCCCTCGTCTGTTAGGACACCTTTTGGACTCTAACCTCACAAGACAGACCCAGACCTCTCTGAAGTTTGCTCAGGAAGTTGGGGATGTGTGGGTCTGGTTCCCCACTTGGCCCGAAGCAGTGTCCTACCCCTATTCTGTGCCGTAACTTATTCCCAGACCTAGGGGCTGCTTGGTCCGTGTTACTTCGTGCTAATAAAAGAGGGATTGATTGTAGCCACTGTGCCTCTTTCTCTGCTGTGCTATCTCAACCCTCCACGCTGAGGCCACAGTCCCCTCCCCAAAGGGCCCCACTCAAGATTGACCCTGGGGCTGAGAACCACACATTGTGCATAAGAGAGAGGCTCTGAGAAGGCGTTGTGGTTAAAACATTCAGCTGCTCTCATAAAGATCAGCAGATGGAACCTACATCTGCACCTTGAGAGAAAGATGGGGCCGTAAACTCCAGTAAAGATTCAGTGTTGGAAACTCAACGCAACAACTCTATTCTGTCCTGGTTTGCTGAGTCAGAATTGATTCAGTGCTGGTAAGTTTTGGGGGTGATCTAAGACTTGTTCCAGGTCACCTATTACAGGGACAGAGCTGGACCCCATCTCTGACCAGCAGGACAACACTGTCACCTGCTCTGGTGTCCCTGACCAGGGTCACTCAGAAATGACGCTGGCCTGAGGCCTGGAGTCTGGGACCTGGTTCCAGCCTGGCCCTATTACCCTGAATATGGGCCAGAACAAGACAAGGCACCTGGCCCACTTCTGGGAGTTCTAGGAGGAGCCAAGAAGCTGAGAGCTTGGAGAGCAAGGCCCGTGTGTCAGAAACTATGAGCAAGGAATCCTAGATTCTTTGTTAGAAACAAATCTTGGAATCTTTGGACACTAGAGGCTCTCTTACTTCAAGAACAGAGAGCTGGGAGGATCCAGAAATCTAAGATCTTAACAGTTGCTATTTCTCATGCTTTTCTAAGGCACCAGATACTGTGTCAGGCTCTGAAACCTGTAATCTTCATTACCTCAAGCCCATTTTATGGATGAAGAAACTGAGGCCCAGAGAAACCATGGCTCGACTAAGGGCAGCCCTGGGTCACAAGAGCCAGTGGCTAGCTGAACAAGCGTGGGCTGAGAGGATCTTGTTGATGCTGATGTGTTCCTCGGCCCCACTGGAAGATATGGCCACCAGGAGAGCCACTGTCCCTCTATCACCCTGTCATCCACGTTGCTGTCATGTTGGAAGCCATGCCCGAGTACCAGTGCGGTCATTGTGGGCAGCCTGGGGAGAAAAGCTTAGCAACCTGCTTCCAAAAATTAGCCAACTTGTTCTTCCTGGAATTGGCCTAGTGGGTAAAGAGTTGCACCGCCAGCCCTAAGGCACATGATTTGAATCCACCAGTTGTGTCAAGGGAAAAGATGAGCAGCCTCCTAGGGGAACTCTGATAGCCTCGTGGTAAGGCACTGTGCTGCCATCTCAAAGGCATGTGGTTTGAATTGACCAGCTTCTCTGTGTGAGAAAGATAGGCAATCTCCTTCCCTGTGATTAAACTGCCTCTGAAAACACCCCCACAAACCAAAAATTAGCCAACTGAAACAACATGTAAAGTGCGATGGTTGGCCACTGTGTGCAACTATTGAGAAGCAAAGCAAAGAGACATAAAAACGATTATCCCAAAAGACGGATAGACCACATCAACCTCAACTCCCAGAACTCTGAGGCCAGAAGAACTAGATGGTGCCCAGCTGACCACTCATTTTCTCCTCTCAAATCCACACTGGCAGCAGCAGCAGACGCAAGGACACTAAGGAGCATGAAGATGGCACAGGCCAGACAACAAGAGACAGCACAAGTCCAGCCTCTTGTACGTGGAGTGGTCATAAGTTGGGACTATGCATCTGAAAGTCCATGAGCAATGAGTAATGTGACAGAATAAGAACTAATGCCTTTGGGTTGTGAAATTGGAAAAGAATAGCAAATATCCTATGGACTGCCAAGAGGACAAACAAGCATGTCTTGCTTGGAAAAGGTACAGACGGTGTTCCTTGAAGGTAAGGAGAGTAAAACTTTGTTTCATAAATTTTGGTCTTGCTGTTAGCAGGGACCAGTCCTTGGAAAAGGATATTATACTAAGAAAGGGGGAAGGTTAGTGAAAGGATGCAAAAGACCCTCTTCAAGATGGATTGACACCAGTGACTCATAACAGTGGGCTCGAGTGTATGATGAGGACGGCACAGGATAGGGCAGGGTTCAGATCCATTGTTCATAGGGTCAATATGAGTCATAGTTGATTCAACAGCACTTAACAACACCAGCATCAGTGGATCAACCTGGTCACAACCTATGGACCTATTGGCAGCTGTGCCAAGATGAACCCCAGCGTCCCCCAGTTACCCCATGGCCTTGCTCTACATGGGAGACTTATACCCCTATGTGACAGAGGCGATGCTATGAGAAGTTCAGTCAGACCGGGCCCATCCTCTCCATCCAGGTCTGCATGGATATGATCACCTGCCACTCCTTGGGCTACGCATATGTGAACTTCCAGCAGCTGGAGGATGCAGAGTGTGCTTTGGACACCATGAATTTTGTTGTTACAAAGGGCAAGCCGGTATGGTCTCAACATGATCTCAACATATGGTCTCAACATGATCCATCCCTTGGTAAAAGTGGAGCGGGCAACATATTCATTAAACACTTGGATAAATCCACTGATAATAAAGCAGTGCATGAGACATTTTCAGCATTTGACAATATCCTCTCATGTAAGGTGGTTTGTGATGAAAATGCTTCCAAGGGCTGTGGATTTGTGCACTTTGAGACAAAGGAAGCAGCTGAAAGGGTTCTTGAAAAAAATAAATGGGGTGCTTGCTTCTAAATGATTGTCAAGTATTTGTTGGACGTTTTAAGTCTCACAAAGAATAAGAAGTAGAACTTGGAGGTAGAGCGAAGAGTTTACCCATATTTACATCAAGAATTTTGGAGAAGATATGGATGACAAGTGCCTTAAGGATCTCTTTGGCAAATTGGACCTGCCATAAGTGTGAGAGTAATGACCAATGAAAGTGGGAAGTCCAAAGGTTTTGGATTTGTGAGTTTTGAGAGGCATGAAGAGGCACAGAAAGCTGTTGATGAGATGAATGGAAAGGAGATCAATGGAAAACAAATTTATGTTGGTCGAGCTCAGAGAAAAGCGGAACTTAAAAAACAGAACTTAAAAGAACTTAAGTGCAAATTTGAGCAGATGAAGAAAGATAGGATCACCAGGTACCAGGGTGTTGACTTATATGTGAAAAATCTTGATGATGGTATTGATGACGAATGTCTCCGCAGAGTTTTCTCTATTTAGTATAATCATTAGTGTAAAGGTTGTGAGGGAGGGTGGTGGAAACAAAAGATTTGGTTTTGTATGTTTCTCCTCCCTAGAAGAAGCCACTGAAGCAGTTACAGAAATGAATGACAGAATCGTGACCACAAAACTATTATGAGTAGCTTTAATTCAGCACAGAAAAGAGAGCCAGGCTCACCTCACTAACCATTATATGCAGAGAATGGTGAGTATCCGAGCTGTGCCCAGCACCGTGTTTCAACCCCTACCAGCCAGCACCTCCTTCAGGTCAATTCATGGCAGCTACCCCACAGACTCAGAACCGTGCTGAGTGCTCCCCTTCTAGCCAAATTGTTCAATTAAAACCAAGTTCTTGCTGGACTACTCAGGGTGTGAGACTCCATCCATTCCAAACTATGCCCGGTGCTATTTGCCCAGCTGCTCTTAGACCACCACTTAGTACCATGAGACCAGGTTCTTCACAAGTTCCACGAGTCATGTCAACGCAGCATGTTACTAACACACCGTCCTGCGGCTGCTCCTGTAGCAGCTACTTCTGCCGTCCACACTGTGCTGCAGTTATAAATATGCTGCAAGAGTTCACAATCCTCAGTAACATCTAAATGCACAACCACAAGTCACCACACAGCTGCCTGCTGTTCACGTACAAGGTCAAGAGCCTTTGACTGCTTCAGTTTGGCATCTGCCCCCCACCCAAGAACAAAAGCAAATGTTGGGTGGAAGGCTGTTTCCTCTTATTCAAGCCATGCACCCTACATTGGCTAGTAAAACCACTGGCTTATTTTTGGAGATTGAGAATTCAGAACGTCTTCATATGCTTGAGACCCCAGAGTCTCTTCGTTCTAAGGTACTACAAGCCCACCAAGCTAAGGAGGCTGCCGGGAAAGCAGTTAACAGTGCACTGGTGTTCCAACTGTTTAAAATTATCTGAGACCATGAAAGAAAACTCATGCTTCACTGAAGAAAAAGAACTAAACATAGAAAAACTTAAATATTGTGGAGGGAAAAAAATTGCAAAATACAAATTATTTTTTTTTTAAATAAAAAGGAAACTTTGAACCTTATGTACGAAGCAAATGCCGGAGCTAGCATGCAACACCTGTCCTAGATTACTTACAGCAAAATATAAAAACAAAATAATGTTTTATAGACCCTGGAAAAAGACTTTTCAGCCAAATAAAAAAATGTAAAGCATTCCTTTCTTTAATTTTATAATTCTTTACTGTGGAATAGCTCAGAAGGTCACTTCTGTTTTAGGTAACAGAATTGATAACTGAGGAAGAAACTGTAATTTGGATTATAAAATTTTTGCTTTAATAAAAATTCCTTAAACTGTGAAAAAAGAAAAATATACATATCACTGCATTGTTTAATATTAGAAAAGGAGTACATCAGGGATACGTCCTGTCTCTATACATTTTCAATTTATATACAGATCATTCAGGAGGCTGGACTTAATGAAAAGAAATGTGGCATGAGGATTGGAGGAAGACTCATCAACAAGCCGAGTTATGCAGATGACACAACCTTGTTGACTGAAACTGAGGTGGACCTGAAGCATTTGTTGCAAAAGGTCAAGGACTTCAGTCTTCAATATGGATCGAAACTCAACATCAAGAAAACAAAATT